CTGGGAGAATCTGTCCAGTGTCTTTATCAAAAAGGTACTAAAGCTTCACATACACTTCAACTCCATAATACAGTACGAAATGCAAAGCGCATTTTGAAGCATTTTCTGCGTCTTAAATGGTTACCTAGTTGCCTATTACAAAGACGACCATTTTTATCTGTTGACTTGTGTTCATTTTTCAGATCGCCGGTTTTGTGAATGCAAAGGTTCTAGACACGTCTATCCAGCAGGTGTCGCTGGCTATTCTGGAGAGCATGGTGCTCAGCAGCAGTAGTCTGTTTAATGAGGTCAAACAAGAAATCACCCTGGAGAGACTCATTTCCCATCTGCAGGTGTAAGTACAGAAGAGCTCTTGCTTTAACTGTTTGCAGTATTACCAGTGTTTACTTTATGGGTGTGGAAGAGGAACTACAATAGTTGAGGGTGTGACATACACCACAGTAATGACAGTAGATGACAATGATGATCCTACGTTAGGGTTTGAAAACAGTGACTAGCATACAGTTTCAGTAGTAGATGTTTAATAACGGTTCTCATTGCTTTCAGTACTGATATACAGCATATATCAACCGTAAATTGAATTATAATGAAAACTACAACAATAATGGTAAATTTTTATAGTTAATTTCGCAAATTAATAACATCAACAACTATTGTTGTTATATAGTATTATCATTGCAATCAAATTGCTTAGCAGTTGCATTACATTCAAAGTGCATTTCAAGAGAGAATTATTTCTAGAGGGCGTCATTGTCTTCTTTTCTGCTTAACACACAAATAAACGTTTCTTCCTCTTTCTGGAAAATACCTTCTGGTTTAGCTCATCATGTGGATATTTATCACGTTTAAGATTAGCATGTGTTGGATTTTTAAATCCGCATTCTACATCAACATAAATGTTTAATTTTCTCTGCTTTTGTCTAATGTACCGTAGAACAAACCAGCAGCTGCAGACTAAGGCCATGGCTCTGCTGATGGCGATGCTGCAGGCTGGTGGCGAGGCAGACAGACAGGTGAGAGGTTGAGAGGTTTTTGTTTCGTCTCTTTGATGATTTCTTGGTTTTGCTGCCACTGTCTGTTGCGACTCTAAAAATAGTGCAAGTAAAATAAGCGCCCTTTATTAGTTAAAGGCTAATCATTGGTGTTTGAGAACTGTTTTGCTAGTACAACATTTCCATTAGAAGAAAGTGTGATTCAAATTTGCCATCACAGAAATAAATTGCATTTCAAAAGATATTAAAATAGACGACGGTTGTTTTAAATTGTAATAATATATCACAATATTGCCGTTTTTACTGTATTTTTGATCAAATAATTGCTGCATAAGAGACATCTTTTAAAAACATTAAAAACATCTTACCAACCACAAATTTTAGAATGGTAGTGTATATTTTTGTGGCTTATGATACAACATTTCTAGCTGGAAAATGTTCTTGTGCAGGTAATTGATTTTGGACTCAGAAAATGCAAACAAATAAATAAATATATTATTAAAAAAAAATTTATATATATAT